CAGAAGGAGTGAGTGAAGATGCGGATGGCATTGACCTCACGCCTGCACGATCTACGACGTCCACAGCACGCCTGCACGATCTACCACGTCCACAGCCATGCTGGAAGTCGATTTATTTTACCTTGAATGGTTCTTTACAATCTGTATCACAATTTGTGGGCTCAGCAATACTGAAGGATATGTTGGAAGTCGACAGCGCCACATTCACACGTTTCGCACGCGGATGGTGCTAGCACTTGCTGGGAGAGTTCCGCTAAATTTCCCACTCCACTGTAGGTCTACAGGGCACAATACACTCAGGAGTGTGTCTGCTTTCGGAATGTAACGTTGCACTGTACATGTACAATGTACAAGAAGAATGGTGCAATGGAAGCTTTTTCACTGGAATCGGTGCAAGTGTGGCATCAATGCAACGTAACCAGTCTATTCACTTCATAAAGCACGGGCATGTCGATCTAGTATTTTTTCTCTTTTTTTTTACTATGTTCACATACCCAGCTCGAAAAGAATAATGAATGACAATGGTACAGTAGCGGACGAATCTTTGCATAGATCTACATCAGTCATGTAGATCTACTCGTACGAATCGCTAACGCGGCTAGCGCACCGCTAGGCGGTCGGATTTCAGTTGCCAGCACTGTACATGTGATAGTACATGTGATGGTGCTAGTGGTATTGCTTCGTGCCGGGTAAGAGCCAGCTGCGGAATACAACCCCAAGACGGCTGCTCTGCAATCGGGAATTCTAGTTATGAAACGTCAATTCGAGCCAATCTTTTGCATGAAATGTACATGTAGGAACATCACTCATTTTTCCTACTGGTGAGAGTGCGCTGCAAACACTACAAAGTTCTAGTTCACACGAGCGGCTCCCAATATCTGTTTGACGCTGTGCTGCTCATGAGTCGCTAAACAGCCGAAAGCGTCTTTCACTATAAGTGGCTTGCTATGTGAATGCCGGGCAATCGATTATCGGGATCTGTGAGGTCAGGAAAAGGTTGCCAGGATTGCATCCGCACTCTGCATACGATGATTCATTCTATTTTAATTTCTATTGCCAATAATATGTACCTGAGCCTTGGTTCAATGCTGTGCTGTGAGAGGTACAGGCTCTCTGGTGTGAACTGTATCTCAGCCACAGGAAGTACATTCCCGTCGCATATCCCTGGCATGCCCCCAAATCAACTACTTGGTAGTACATTCCCAAATAAAGCTGTACACTGATAATATTATAGCTTGCATTAGTACTTTAGGTCTGACGTACACGTATCACAATGTGACATAGTGCTTCTAGAGGATGCTGGTACGTGGATGTATGCAAGTGCCAGTAAAGTAGGGTCGTTAATAATCATTATTGCAGATATCACTGTACCTGGTCACGTGATAGTTTCTCTACAGATACATACAGTGCCGGTAACTGAAATCCGACCCCTGAGCGGTGCGCTCACATCGCAAAGACCCAACACGGGATAGTAAAACTACGACATAAAGACCGCTAGAATGTGAACGCACCGCTCAGGGGTCGGATTTCAGTTGCCAACACTGTACAATGTAGCATTTACAGAACTACATGTATATGACTGTGTAGGTTGCAATTCAAAAGGCGAGTGTGTTCGCGTATGTGTGAATGGCATTTGGATTCCGTTAACGGTTAAGGGAACGGATGGGAACTTCCGGAGGCTGTTCACTGACGCTAGCCAGGATATGGGTGTAAGTCAGACGTTGAAACCCTGCCAATCGCTAGACATGTTTTAAATTACAGCCGCGAAGTCAATCACTCCATGTCCACTCCATGTCGACTGCTGATTCTCTTGAATGGATGTACGTTTACAGACTCTCGGAGTCTGCGCGACAGCAGGAACATTTTGACAGTCCCCTCTCTTATAGTTCTCCTGTTATAGATGATCGTTTTAGATGGAATCGCTCCCCACAGCCAAAACACGGATATTCTCAGCTGGTACGCGTTCGCAAACGGCGAGACGTGCTTTTGCCCTTGGCCGGGAATATCTTGTAGGTTATTAGGATACGAGGAAAAAACGTTACAAACAAGCGAGTCAGCAGGATGAACACGTTAGTGACTACTTGTATACAAACCCACCCAGACAATTCATACAAAGTCATGTCCTTGACAAAGTTAGTTCCTACATCCTGCTGTCCCTCTACTAATGTTCAGCTTCGTGTGGCCAGCATCCGTCGTACTGCTGATACTTTAGGATAGTACCGGTAGCAGGGTTAGTGCGTGTTTGTGTGTTTGTGTGTGTGTGTGTGTGTGTGTGTGTGAGAGAGAGAGAGAGAGAGAGAGAGAGAGAGAGAGAGAGAGAGAGAGAGAGAGAGAGAGAGAGAGAGAAGAGAGAGAGAGAGAGAGAGAGAGAGAGAGAGAGAGAGAGAGAGAGAGAGAGAGAGAGAGAGAGAGAGAGATCGGGAGAGGAAGTGAGACCGAGAGAGAGAGAGAGAGAGAGAGAGAGAGAGAGAGAGAGAGAGAGAGAGAGAGAGAGAGAGAGAGAGAGAGAGAGAGAGAGAGAGAGAGAGAGAGAGAGAGAGAGAGGGAGAGAGATCGGGAGAGGAAGTGAGACCGAGAGATAGATAGGAGAGGAGAGAGAGAGAGAGAGAGAGAGAGAGAGAGAGAGAGAGAGAGAGATAGAGAGAGAGAGAGAGAGATAGAGATAGAGATAGAGATAGAGATAGATAGATAGAGAGAGAGAGAGAGAGAGAGAGAGAGAGAGAGAGAGAGAGAGAGAGAGAGAGAAGAGAGAGAGAGAGAGAGAGAGAGAGAGAGAGAGAGAAGAGAGAGAGAGAGAGAGAGATAGAGAGAGAGAGAGAGAGAGAGAGAGAGAGAGCGAGAGAGGGCGAGAGAGGGAGTGAGACCGAGAGAGAGAGAGAGAGAGAGAGAGAGAGAGAGAGAGAGAGAGAGAGAGAGAGAGAGAGAGAGAGAGAGAGAGAGAGAGAGAGAGAGAAAGAGAGAGAGAAAGAGAGATAGATATAATTATAGATAGGTAGATAGAGAGAGAGATAGGGGGGGGGGGAGAGACAGAGAGAACATGATTTTGTGTGTTGTTATTGTTGTTGTTGTTTTTGTTTTTTATTTTACTTCGCAAGGCCAAGCGGGTGCGTGTGCGAAGGAGAAACGTACCCCTTTCACCATGACAACTACAACTACAACTACATGTACTACATTACACTACTGATGATCAATTGCACACTTGACTTTACACCACTACCCCCCCCCCCCCCTACACACACACACACTGCGAGACTGAATTACGCTGAATCACAGGGACGCTTCACACAATATGCCTTATCCTTTCCCCGTGGTCTGCTTTGCCGGGCCTCTACCGCTCTTTGCCTGAAACTCGAATCGCCTTAGCTACATGTATGTGTCAAGATGGACTCCAGCGATTTGGATTCGCAAGGGGGCGTCAGTCTGTTTTTGACTGTTGTCCATTGTTAAACGCGTAAATCATGATCCGTCGGTCTGTGTTTCACTGTTCGCGTAAATGCCGGGATGATGCACCCAGTGCGCCTCCAGTGTTCTAATACCGCCGACGCAGACTGCAGTGTCACGTGTAAATGACGGACAAAGCGAGTACACACTTGCGGCAAAGCCAAAGGGGATGATTTTGTGTGACCATCCCGTGCGTGTGTAGCGTGTCTCACTTCTGTCACTTGTCCGGCAGACTTGACCGACTGGCCGTAATGCTGGTTGAGTGTTACCCTGTGCCAATAGGGGAAGAATTGAACGGCACTAGACAGGGCAGGTTGAAGTCGGTTCCTGCCCGCCAGGTATATTTAGACATCGTCTGCTTGAGGCTAGAGCTCAAGGGAGACTTACTAAAGCCTTTTCCCCACCGCTTTAGGAGCTGCATCTGCGCCTTGATCCTTGAAGCGTGGTGGCATTCCTACGGATGCGGAAAACTCGGCCTCTAGCTAGCTGAGTCTCACGCGAACTGTGAATTCTTCAGACTCACACCCGGCGTAGTCACGTCTGCCAGAAATATGCTTCCACTGTACCGTGGGGAAGCAGTGCTTGATTCATTTGCTGAGTTATTTTTGTCTCGGTCGGCTTTGCATTCCAAGCGAGAATAATCCCATGCTACTGGACTGCATTCCCTGCCCATTGCTCCTTTTTACAGTCATTCTCGATCTCATGCTTCTTTTGAGCGATGAGGATGATTCCGGGATCATTTCCTTTGAGTCACACACACACACACATACATAGTACGGTTACCCTTACGAGACAGAGGTCCGTAGAGAATATGGAGGCAAGGCCAACTCTTGACCAAGTCGCAGCCACTGCTTTCTTAGCATAGAGTTGACCATCGTCTTTATGAAACGGTATGATCACCTGTCTAGTGTGTACAACAGGTTGCAGGTAGCACCACTTTCTATCCTTTTCTATTTTACTTTCTCACACAAAGGCACACAATGAAAACCTTGGCAAATTAACTCCGTTGTGACTCAGAGTTTCATGGCTGAACTAATCATCAGACAATTGTTGTCTGATGATTGGTTCAGCCATGAAACTCTGAGTCACAATGGAATTAATTTGCCAAGGTTTTCATTGTGTGCCTTTGTGTACGCCGCTCTGCCTGAATCAGGCATTGAGCACTCTTGCAGAACCAAAGCATATTGCCTCTGTGTGTTTTACTTTCTCTTCGGATTTTTCTTCATCATACGCCGTTGAGGGAGACTCGCACGATTTAGTCCACGCCCTGTGAAGAATAACTATAAAAAATAATTATATTTTAAAAATAGACTACACCACAGCTTAGTGGCTAGAGCATCGCTTGCTACAAGCGAGGGTCCCTGGTTCAACTTCAAGGCCTGGTGGTGACAGTCAATTTTTTCTTCAAACTTTTCCCGTTTGTGTCTTTCCCTCAAACTAGTCAAGACAATAGTTCAATTACAAATACACTGTGTACACGCTCCATTATACGGTAACAGTGTAGCAGTGTTTTCGTCGATTCAGCGGTGCATGTATTCTCTCTCTGCCTACTCGCTTACCGCTTTTGACTCGATGCCAGTCCCACATCCGGGACACTTGAACGTCTTCGACTCCTCGCAAGCACGTCTGTGACAACAGGACCGACAAGAACGCCAACGGGAAATGCCAACGGGAAAGTTTAACCACACTGAAAATAGAACGTATGCCACCGACAGTCCCAGAAGGCATGGGCATTGTTCAGTTTGTTGTGAAACGCCACGCGTGGGAATTAGTTACGAACGACTGCTGCTCAGTTGAGGCCATCGCCACACCCATAAATGTATGCATGGAGGCGAATAGCATCGGGCACATACACATCATTATGTTAGTGGCTTTTGGGGATTTTCGAGAAATCCCTCCCCCCCCCCCTCCCCTCCTCCCCACGATACTCTGTATAGGGTCGTATCTACCGGGGTGTGAGGGGCAGCGGTTCTGGCTGAACAAAGGCTTGGGCACTGCTACGTGTACATGTATTACGTTTTTGTACCTCGGATTCTGAGTACACTTTCCTGTGGCCTTTCGGTAGGAGTACGCGTATACTAGTAGTGGCAGCAGAGTTCCAGGTGGAACTCATAAAGTAAGTACTCGGATAATACATACTCTTGCTTAGTACGAACATTGTCCAAAGCACGGTGTATTGATCCATACAGGAGTATGTTCGGATAAGAAGTGCATGATCGGATACTATGTACATTTTCCTCCTGCACACATGGATGCGTCTGAGATGTTGGTGCATGCATGCATGCATTGAAGCTGTTCCGTCTACGAACAATACTTTGCATTGTATGTGAATTAGTGTAGCCGACGGCATTGGATGGAGGTTTTTGCGCTGTACACAATGCGACGGTATGGCTCTGCAGTCGTCAAGACGGTACGTTAAAGGCACAGATGGAAGACTTCGCCAGAATGAATGCATTGAGAACAGCAATGATGCAGCTATGGAGCGATGGAGCTTGCATTGATAGTCGGTATCCCAACTGCAATGATTGTTTATATCACTCCTTCAATGATAAGGAGATGAATGTGCATGGGTAAAAGGATACGTGATTGGTGGGTGATACGCTAGAATACCGGTACATACATGAATTGCCTTGGGGATTTGACCTCTACAATGTTAGAATACGGATGCATATGATCTGCAGAAACTTCGAGTCCCTTGGCTCATTCCAAAGGGTGAGATTGGCAGCAACAGTTTGCTAATGCTGGGTATCTTTCGCAGACAATTTAGGTAACTTGTCAGAGTATTGGGATTCAGAGAATCAGAGTCCCTTGACCTGTCTTCGTGGTGTATTTCTCAACTGGGTAAGGTGCACCCACGAAGCATGATGACCGATCGCGCCTATACTCAGTTTCCAACGACTGTGTCCCTCGGGGGTATTGCAATACTTAGCATTCCGGCTTCAAACGTGTGCCTGGGCTCGTGAAGTTCGGGAAAGATTGCCATGTTATAGCCAGCCAATGTCGTTGATGAATCAACCCGCCAATTTGTAAATACAACTCGCAGCTGTTGTGATGAAGCGTCTACTAATAATCCTCCCCCCCCCCACCACCACCACCACAAACACACGTACACACTCCATATGCTATTTACTGATACCCTATCCATTATGTCATCAGATTTGACCCATTGTAAGGTGAAATTCCTTGTCCACGGTGAAGTTTTTCATTCCCGACAATAACGTGGTCTGTTCGAACTTCGACTTGAGGGCGTCTTTTGGGGCCGACATAAGGTGGACGTCAGCTCAATTGGGCTCATGGAAGCTTCAGCGACAGACACCATTGTTTGGGAAGCTGATACCTGCTGCGTGGCATTCCAACATCAGTGCTATACAAGGCGGTGTGGTAATCCGACCTTTCCCTCGTCGTCCTTCAACATAGCCACTGCACTGAGGCTACTGGTATACATGTAACGTTATGCCACACTCGCTAGGAAAATGCAACAAACACTCGGTTCTCAATACATTCATGCGACCCAGCACCAGGGCACTGTGCCCTTTTCAAGCTGAACATAGGTCGGGGCACTCCCAGAAAACTCATCGACAGGCACACTGGGAAAGCGTTCTTACAGAGGCGAAAACAACACCTGGGACAGTCATGATCGAATGTTTTATCAGCGCGTGAGGTCAGCTCAGGGTCAGTGCCCTCTGTGGAAGATTGAAGAAGTTTTGAAATCTGAATGAGCTCAGCCTCACACACCCTGTTTAACACCGTGCAAGGCATGGATGCCTAAATAATAAATTACTCTTGCCAGGTGACCAGAAACATGATCACGTCAATATCAATAACCAATGGTACGACAGGAATGTCTGCGGCTTTATGAATGGAAGTTCAGCGCGTATTTGGAATGCCGGGCTTGTGCCATTTCGACGAAAGGGCGGGAAACAGAAACCACTGGCATCAACACCACCTTCATACAATACCCAATAGAGAGGTCTGTATCGCTTTAGTGTGTCGCCCCTGGAATGCCCACACCCCAACTGGGTGGCATACATGCTACATGCAAAGGTGAAGACTGTCTACACCATCGTCGACTGCGATACTGGAATATTCCACTTCATCTGTCAGAAACGTCTAGCTGAAGTGCGGCGTATGTTGACAACAGTACTAAGTCTTGTACTTGCAGCACCCCTAGTATGCACATGACATACACTGCCTTTTCGTGCAGCAGTTCGGCTCAATGATCATTTTGCCGAGAGTCGGACAGTGCGATGCGTTGTATGGCAAGATCCTCTAGAACACGAACCAGCACTGTCGGCTGCGGACAGAGAAAATGACATTTGGTTCCGGAGAGCTACGTGTAAGTATGATGCTCATCATACTTAACCGTGGAAAAGGTCAATAACTGAACCTGGTGTTGACAGGGGTTTGACAAGTAGCTGACAAGTAGTGGATCAGGCAAGGCCGATGTGGTTATGCCCCAGCTGGCATGCTGTCAACACACGTCCAGGCAACACGATGACAGGTGAAGAATTCCAATGCTTGGGCATTTGACGTAGAAGTGCATATCAACACCATGTGTAAATACAAGTACACTACAGCGTGCGATGTAGAGTAGTAGCGTGGGCAACCATGCTGACTCGTTCAAACGACACGTCTTAGTCTATTGCGAGGCCGAAGGTTGACATGACGCTCTATTGCAAACATTACGCTGCACGCACGCAGCGTCATGAGTAGCGCGTGGCGCGAATCCGTTGTCATTCTGCTGCCGCAAACTAATCACCTCCACGCCATACTCACACTGGAGACACTAACACTGGTACCCTGCACACGTAGACATTTTGACACGAGTGCGAATCTGCGTAATTTGATTTACGTCAAACTGACAAACTGCACGTGTCATTCGCGCATATGCAGACCTGAGGAGGCAATATATTCGCGATGAGAACCTGTGTCTGCCCTCCCAACTGACTGCTTCATTCTCTGCAGAGGTCAAGTCAACTGAGCTGCTTGGTATTATGCAGGGTTGTTAGATGATTGGAAGTGAGAGCGTGACCATGACGCTTGGCTTAGACGATGCATCTGACTTGGAGAAAAATTCAAAGACAGAAGCAACACTGGTTGGGCTTTTCCGACACGACGGAAGGCTGCCACAAGTGACGGGACGCTTTGTGACTTCATCGTAACTTCAAACTGAAAACCCTCCATACGTGAAGCTTTGTTGCTGTAGATGTCGAGGATGCGATAAGGGTGTTTCCCTAGAAACATTCTTAGTATGTATGGTTACCCCATAATGAAGCTACCCGAACGTCAATGCCGACTAGGGTATAGCTGTTCCATATGACCATATCCCTGGTTCGAAGTCTATCCAAGTGTGAAATTACAACGCACTGCTGTTCATTTATAACCGAGAGTCACTGGGCATTCCGCAGACGGACCGACGCCATCTCATTGAACAAAAAAACGCACCAATATCCGAACACAAACAAAACAAAATAGCTTCTCGACAGCAGTCAACACTGCAATAGTTTGTGAGAAGCATACGGGATAATTTCCCGCTCGAATGACGTGGGTATTGGCAGTGCAATGCTACGTAATGACGTCATAATCCCCGACCAGTTCTTCCCCCTACGTTAATGTACCACAAGATGCGTCGTTGCGTAGGAAACACAAGCCTGTGTTGTAGAGTAGAGCAAAGGCTGCATGAATCCGTTTAAGAGGTCTTGACGTCTCCGAGACAACAGCAGGTGACTACTCCCCATGGGGAGAATTCCAAAATTGCAGGTGAGGCAGAAACAGACGTACATGTACATGTACATCATGGTTGAACAAATCTCCAGTGGCTGATGCAAAACGTAGGGGATTTCTCCACCCCAAAATAGTTACGAGGGTCGATTGATGAGCCATTGTGTTGCGTTAAAAACGTAATGGGAAAAATATCTTATCCATTCATCCTACAAACGAAAATCCGTACTCTGTATCCATTTCATATCCTAGAGTGGAAATGTTTGCTTTTTGAGTCAATGGTGTACAGTACGCTGTTTCATCCAGCTTATCAGGCCAGTGCGGTCTCATGGGGAAGTACAGGCATGTGTGTACGTCAGGGTGGCTGGAATGCTTCTTTAAGTTAGCTACAGGTAGCCATGCACCCCGATATAGGAACGTCTCATGGTATGGAGCTATATCCTGCTACATGTGCTTCTAGATCCTACACAGGAGGAATGTACCTGGTATGGGTTCCAGTATGTGTGAAGCTTGCCACATCTTAAGTTCAATGAAATCTTTCTAGGTATATTGTATTCTGCACGTTATAGTACATTTATTACGGATTCTCCACAGGCCTTAAAAGGTAAAAGCTAAGAGCTCAAAAATGGGAACTGCATAACTTGGCCCAAGTCAAGGGAGTATCCGTTTGCAAGTACAATGCGCCGTCTTTGCGTGTACCAGCTCGCCAATGTTTTCATGCCATTATTCTTTGCTGGGTTGATATTTTCAAAAGCTACCAGATTTCATGGGGTGCTCCATGTACGTGTGTGTGTGTGTGTGTGTGTGTGTGTGTGTGTGTGTGTGTGTGTGTGTGTGTTCGTGTGTGTGTGTGTGCATGTTTGTGTGTGTGTGGGGGGGGGATGGGGTATGCTGCTACCCCAGGAGTCATCACTATGTCCTAGAAGCAGAAGCACACAAGATCTTTAAGAAAAAATGACAACAATAACACTAGCATAATATCTTACTTGAGAGCGGCGTCCAAGCAAGGCTCGCAGAACCGATGTCCACACCTTGTTGACTGGCGTGCGCGGTACAGCAGGTTCTTGCATATCCTACACTTCAGGTTGATAGTGTCCACGGTCTGGTCCAGCAGACTTACTCCACGGTGCACGTGACCATGGTGGTTAGTGGTAGCAGCCGTAGTAGCGCTGGCAGAAGCTTCACTGGTTGGCATTCCCGTCGCTTCCCGTGGGTATAATTCTCGGGTTGGCGGTGTATGGGTGATGGAGCGTATAGCGCTGTTGGGGGTTATGTATGGTGTCGGGGGTTAGGTATGGCGATGGCCGCCGTGGTGATTGGGGCTGCAGAAGCAGAGAATCCTATCCCAAACAATCTTCCTGGAAGGAAGAAGAAAAAGGAAGATGGAAAAGTCAATCATTGAAGTTATAGCAGAAATGTGTCCATTGAAATGACAACACCCTGTGTTACAACCCTGTGTTGAATTGTGACAGCCGGCCAAGACAGTCATCATGGTCATGTCAAGTGGATAATCCCACTGGTTGGGAATCTCAATACGTCACATGTAACACGAGGAACAGATGGCCACAGTGGTTATCGTCGACCAATAGCACAAAACAGAAGTCAAGCGGGCTTCGCGACTCAGCCACCGGCGCTGGTCCGACTCTAAGTAACGTCACTCTTGCTGAAAAACCCGATGGATTGGAGACAGGAAACTTTGTTCATGCGGCACTGAAGAGAGATCAAGTTTGTGACTGCGTCTTTCAGCATATTCACCCCAATAATAAAAGCAGCGAGACAATGCCAACTTCACATTCACACTGGATCGATCCTCACACAAAGAGTTACATTATTCCAATGTTTGTGACGACGTTCTCTGTCCAACACGCTGACAATGATGTTGTCCGTATGCGGACAAAAGAGGTCGTTCATTTTTCTATGCCAGTCCGAATTCCGTTACATCATCATTTTCTGGGTTCTAGGATTTGTAAACATGCAATGAGCCTCCATTATGAGCCTGTAGGACTCTTCATGTTGCCGTCTGTTCTCTTGTTTGATATCCATCTCGTACTCGTGTCTTTACGTCACGGACTGAATGCTTTAAAAGGTTTCCAGCGACGGTATCTTCACACATTACTCCTTAGCCCTACAGCTCTGATCCTGAGTGCCGTGATGCTCAATGCAATCCGATCAACTGAGTCAATGCCACACCGGGTGCAGTGCAGCCACAGTCCTGTGAACACTGCGCTGTTAACTCAACGCACACTTGATTCACGCCATCGTATTAAAATGTGCTTCAATGTACAGCACACCCTGTAACTAACGACCACCCCTTGGTGCCCGGAAAAGTAGCAGGTGGTCTTTAGTTAGAGGTTTGCACGGCGCGACCATATACATGTTTGGATCCCATTATATTATGATATGTATGTCAAAATGCAGATAATACAATCCCCCACCACTTGCGCACTGACATTCTTCTTTCAGATCATACAACACTTGGAGAGAGAGAAAATCAAGTTTTTTATACACCGGAAGCGATACGACCTTTTGACCCGTATGTCGACTCACTGGGTTTCCAGAGCAGCGCTGGCCTGGCCAGGCAGTGGACTAGTCACTATCGACTCCATCCTCATCTGTGTGCGACTACACTGGCAACTGGTATCAGTGTGTAGATCTACAGTGGAAACTCAGTCGCTCTGACTTGGATGTAGTGTAGCTTAAACTGTACTGGTGTGTACCAGTACGTGATGCGGCGATGTTGCGAGTTTTCGCACCTTCACTGTTGACTATTATCCACCATCGTATCCTGGCCTGTGTGTTGTTCCTACATCTCTGAAGATTGCGGATGTTCGTCCCCTCTTCAAGTCAGGCAACGAAGCTGTCGCTCAGAACTATAGACCAATATCGTTATTACCAATAGTTTCCAAAGTCCTAGAACGGGTAGTCCACACGAGACTCTGTAAGTTCCTCTCCGGAAATTCCTTGTTCCCCGCAAACCAGTTCGCATATCGCCCACTTCACTCCACAGAAGATGCCCTGACATTGGCTGTAGACAGACGGCCGTCTTCGGGATATCATCCTCTGCCACTGGTATCTGGTGGTATGCACGAACCAAGTCTATCTTGCTGAAGACTGAGGCGCCATGAAGATTGGCAGAGAAATCATGGATGTGCGGTATTGGATACCGGTCAGCCACAGTTGCACGATTCAGGCCACGGTAATCACCACATGGGCGCCAGTCACCATTTGGTTTGGGAACCATGTGCAATGGACTGGCCCATGGGGAGGACGATGGTCGTATGATGCCCGCAGCGAGCATGTGGTCAAATTCCCGACGAGCTACAGCTAAACGATCAGGAGGGAGACGGCGAGGCTTGGCAAATACCGGTGGGCCCGTGGTGACCACATGGTGCTCGACGTTGTGTTTCACAGGTGTGTCGTAGTTGCAGGGGCGGGTGACAGATGGAAACTCATTAATAAGAGCGTTGAACGAACTATCACCAGAGACTGGCAAACAACACGTTGGCTCAGCGGAGGACGAGACTAGACCGCACACGCTCAAACTGGTGATGCCATCTAACAGTTTACGACCGTGTAGATCTACACTCAACCGAAAGTGTGCCAGGAAATCTGCACCGATAATAGGTGATGTCACATCAGCAATAATGAACACCCATTGAAACTTACGACGCAGGCCGAAATCCACCGTTACTGAGCGTGTACCATACGTCGGTATGCGAGAACCATTCGCTGCTTGTAACGCATAATCAACTGCATGGCGAGAATCAGTGGCAGATGGTGGTATAACGCTGACCTCGGCGCCGGTGTCCACGAGAAAATCGTGCTTGGTGAAGCGATCGTGGATGAATAATCGGCGACGAGACGGTGCAGGGCCGGGGGCAGTGGTCGCCTTCACCGACCGGCCTGGGAGTTTGACGGCTGCACAAAGGTAGCTGCTCTGGCACAGGGTGGGACGCAGCGACGCGCGTTGTCGCCAAACTTGTCGTGATACCAGCACAATCCTGAGGACTTACGGGACTGCGACGAACTGCGCGAACGGCCGTAGTTTCGTGTGGGCGATCGAGATGCAGAACGCCCACGAGTACTCAAATCTTGCATCTCTCTGCGGAGGGCTGCGACCTCGGCACGCAACTCCGCCAGAGGTTCAGCAACGGGTTCTGGCACCGTAACAGCACGGACATGGGGTGGCATGACTTCCATGACGTATATGACACGGTCAGCTAGCAGAGATAACTGCTGTATATCAGACTCACGACTGGCTGCAAGTACTACTCTACACTGATCAGGCAAACGCTTCATAAATAACTCCTTGAGGAATTTGCTGTCCACTGGAGTGTCACCAGCTAGCTGTTGCAGTCTACGCAATAGGTTAGAAGGTTTCTGATCACCAAGCTCTTCAGCAGATAGGAGCTGGTTGATCCGATGCTGAGCAGAGGCAGAAGTACGCTGGACCAATGCTTCCTTCAGGTGAGTGTAAGGGCGGACGCTGGGTGGGTTCAGCAGTAAATCCCTTATCTGCATGGCCATCTTCGGTTGCAGTGCACCAACCACATGGTGGAAACGGGAGCACTCACTAGTTACTCGTTGTGTGATAAATTGAGACTCTACCTGAAGAAACCACAGAGCTGGGTCTTGAATGTAGAAGGGTGGTATCTTCAAATTAACGGTTGATACAGTCTCAGGACGAGGAGCAGGATCCGATTGTGCTGCAGCGGCAGGTTGGGATCTCGTAGCTACATCAGTAGCGGTGCTTGACTGAGGATCGCTGCCATTACGGGTACTGTCCTGCACTGTCTTGTTCAGATATGGCAAATGTAGTCGAGAAGAGAGACCTTTGCTAAGGTCACCACGAGCAGGGGTGACAGCTTGGTCCATTCCTAAGCCCGAGGAGGACATCCGAGTTCGTTTCGAGGGGTCACCAATTGATGCGTCTAGCACATCTCAATTCTAAAATCCACCGGGAATCCAAAGGAAAACTACTCAGACTACACTGTTATTATTCATTGCAAAAGAACACCGAAAGGCCAAACCGCATGGTGAAGACTAATGTCTAGACTACTCAAGGATTCTCTGAATCCTTGTGCCATTATAGAAGAGAAAATACAGAATGTGTAGTGCGCCAAAGTTAGCGTATGTACAAACATGTAATAATTACAACGCGCAATAAAAGCCTGGGAGTACAAATATCCGGCAAAGGACACGAATGGTGTACGATAAAGGAAGACACGTGCATGCATGAGTACCCTAGCAAAAGTGGACAAACCTAACGTAGATCCACGTGGTACTAATCGAGTACCGTACGCTACATACTTATGCAAAGAAATATCAAATAACATATCATAAAAGAATGCAAATAATTTAATTTCAAAACACATGGAAAATCTCCGTAAAACAAATCGTTAAAACCGGAGGCTTATCGCAAATCACTACATGTTGGAAGATTTGATATTTGTGCAAACTAAACCCGAACGTGTAATTTTTAGAGGTTAAAGGGGAAGTTAAGGCAAAAATTAAAATTTCACCAGTTGTAGTCTTCGGGGTGCTGGGTCGAATGGTCTTGGTCCGAGAAAGCTGAGACGCTCCCTTCCTACTTGAATCCCAATCGAACTCGCGCACTTCCACCGAAACTGGGTGACTGCGCCCTACGAGATGGGGATTTGTATGCAAAATGTCACTAAAAGCGCCATTTCGTTCTTATAAAAGCACGGATGACCGCGATTGGCCCATATGTTGTAGTCTTTTGGACGCTGAGTCGACTGGTTTTGGTCCGAAAAGGCTGCGATGCAGCGTTCGCCCCTAATTCCCAATCGAACATGGTTGAACAAGCGGTCACGTGCTCCTGCGTACACCAGTCACCTGGTCACCGTGCCTGCAGGGTACAACTTACAGCCTGTTTTGACCTTTTTTGGGTGCAGTCCTGTCACTCGAGTTGAACCTTGGTGTGAAAGTTGTCGCCTGCTGGCGTGGTGACCAGGTGATTTTGGCACCCAGGAGCACGTGACCGCTTCTTCAACCATGTTCGATTGGGAATAAAGGAGGAACGCTGCATCGCAGCCTTTTCGGACCAAAACCAGTCGACTCAGCGTCCAAAAGACTACAACATATGGGCCAATCGCGGTCATCCGTGCTTTTATAAGAACGAAATGGCGCTTTTAGTGACATTTTGCATACAAATCCCCATCTCGTAGGGCGCAGTCACCCAGTTTCGGTGGAAGTGCGCGATTTCGATTGGGATTCAAGTAGGAAGGGAGCGTCTCAGCTTTCTCGGACCAAGACCATTCGACTCAGCACCCCGAAGACTACAACTGGTGAAATTTTAATTTTTGCCTTAACTTCCCCTTTAAGTTACACGTGCGACGTGAGGTGAAATTTTGCCTGGCAGGATTCGGGTTTAGTTTGCACAAATATCAAATCTTCCAACAAACTCGATAAAACTCGATAAAATTCCGGAAACTCACACAAATTCGGTCGGGATAACCAAGCGAAACTTCCAAAAACTCACGTCATGAACTTACGTGCGGGACAGTCAACTCACGTAAAACACGTCAAATTTTACGTGAGTTTTTTTCACTTTTTGACGTAAAAGTTCACGGACGTTAAAGGGGAAGTTAAGGCAAAAATAAAAATTTCACCAGTTGTAGTCTTCGGGGTGCTGAGTCGAATGGTCTTGGTCCGAGAAAGCTGAGACGCTCCCTTCCTACTTGAATCCCAATCGAACTCGCGCACTTCCACCGAAACTGGGTGACTGCGCCCTACTAGATGGGGATTTGTATGCAAAATGTCACTAAAAGCGCCGTATCGTTCTTATAAAAGCACGGATGACCGCGATTGGCCCATATGTTGTAGTCTTTTGGACGCTGAGTCGACTGGTTTTGGTCCGAAAAGGCTGCGATGCAGCGTTCCTCCTTTATTCCCAATCGAACATGGTTGAACAAGCGGTCACGTGCTCCTGCGTACGCCAGTCACCTGATCACCGTGCCTGCAGGGTACAACTTACTAGCCTGTTTGACCTTTTTTGGGTGCAGTCCTGTCACTCGAGTTCAACTCGAGTTGAACCTTGGTGTGAAAGTTGTCGCCTGCGGGCGTGGTGACCAGGTGATTTGGGCACCCAGGAGCACGTGACCACTTGTTCAACCATGTTCGATTGGGAATAAAGGAGGAACGCTGCATCGCAGCCTTTTCGGACCAAAACCAGTCGACTCAGCGTCCAAAAGACTACAACATATGGGCCAATCGCGGTCATCCGTGCTTTTATTAGGCCGCGGTCACACCGAGCTCGATTCAGCCGTTCAGCCGAAAAAAGCGCTTGTTTACGTCACTATTACCATGGAAATGGCTGAAAAATGTCCTACAAGCGACTTTCAGCCGTGGCTGACTCTCAGCCGTTTTTTTCCGGCTTGTTTCAGCCACAGCTTGTACAAGCGGCTGAAAGCCGAAATTCAAAAAATTATTTGAGTGCGCTTGGAGCACACCATGTAGCTAGTTGACATGATGAACTGATATTGATGTTCTTTCTTGTGTCCGTGGAACCGTTTGATTTGGATTTTGTCCGACGACCATCGATTTCTGCCGCTGTGCCTCTAGACTGCTGCGTAGATTGTTGGAGCTGTGGTTTGAGGCCAAGACAAGGCACCACACTCACGACCGAATTCATGAAGAAAGCCGGGTACGAAGAAGAGAGTGGATTGCAACTGAGTTGAAGAACGGCAACCGGCGGGGCAGAAAGCTCGACATCAGGAAACACCACCCGAACCATCGCGTCCATGCACACCGAACAAATAAAAAGAGCCCGACTTCGCAATTCAGAATCCGGGCTTCCTTTGCTTCTTCATCAAAACTGAACACTAGAACAAGTACAGTTTTAGATCGCGAACGTTCTGCTTTCCTGTTTCTTGCAAACATTGGTGTGTTTCGAGATATTCAAAATTTGGCGGGTAAGAAAAACAAGCCATTCAAGCTTTGCACTCAAGGTCTGGTGTGACCGCGTCACGGGGACCACGCAAGCCAGCTGAGCGCCAGCGATAACAAGCCCAAAGTGGCTTGTTTCGGTGTGACCGGGGCCTAAGAACGAAATGGTGCTTTTAGTGACATTTTGCATACAAATCCCCATCTAGTAGGGCGCAGTCACCCAGTTTCGGTGGAAGTGCGCGAGTTCGATTGGGATTCAAGTAGGAAGGGAGCGTCTCAGCTTTCTCGGACCAAGACCATTCGACTCAGCACCCCGAAGACTACAACTGGTGAAATTTTAATTTTTGCCTTGACTTCCCCTTTTAAGACTTTTACGTGAAACTAATCTTAACCTCTCTAGTGGGACAAGAAAAGGCGGTCGCTGGTCGCGTTCAGCAGGTAGTCGCTAGTCACAGTGCATTTTGAATGTAAGACCGTCCGTGCCTGACGAAGTGGTCGGTAGTACCAGGCCGGTCGCTAGTCACGGTGGTCGTTAGTTACAGGTTTTAAACAATAAGAGGACGGAAAAAGTGTTTTAACTCTGAGTTTCACGCAGAGCCTGGAACCGCTCTGTTTTACAGATTCTTCTCCAATTGGGTTCTCTCGACCAGCTCCGCCCTGGCAACACACAGGATTCCACTTCCATTTACACCATAACAGCAGCATTGCGCACCGAAGTTTTGGACAGTTTTAACACCCGGGAGTAGTACAATACCGCGGGGTTGAGCTTGGATAAAGATATTGCTCCTGACAATGGTAATGTAGACCGAAACGTGATGTGTGAACTGCAGTGTCCATTTGAGTGTAGCCAAGTTGCCGCCTACGAGTGAATCATGTCAAATGAAGCTGCGTGGGGCGTCCCTCAGAATTTTAAATATACTGTGTCAAGTAAAATACCGTGGCATTTTGCTACTCCCTGGTTACCACCCCCTGCTCACATCTACTGTGCACGTTCGTAGTCCAGAAGGCAGAAGGCAAGGCACAGGCACACAGTCAGTTCGTTGATGATCCTGGTGGTGTGCCCATGAACGTTGCATAAACACACACGATCTCTCTACGCTGAAACATTTTATATTCTCATTCTCATTCTCCTCCTCGTTAGACATTAATATTTATCCTTATTCTCCCTATGGCCGTAGCCATCATCACATTCGCTCTCATGTTATTGGGTTCTTGCCCGTTTGAAGTTGCGAATTCAAATAAATACAAACAAACAAACAAATAAATAACCCTCCGCCGTTTGCCAGTTATCATTTCCCTACTACCAGTAACTGTGTACTGTATCGTACTGGACAAGTCACTGAGCCTTCTTGCTTTAATGCTGCATCACTGATTTTCACAAATTTCCAGTACACATTTCTTCGTCGTTCTGTGAACGCTTGGACTACTAACGTGTCCATGCAAGAAGGTGGCAATCCCGTGTTCGCTCTGGCGAAGTAAAATAATATTGTTTCACTGACCAACGAACACATTGGTGGTCGACAATACTCTATCATTAATTTAAATTTATTTAAAAAATCCATGAAAACAACTAGGCATCTGTAATGACTATGTACATGTAGATTTCAAACAATACGAACACAAAGCAACAGCGCGTACCTTAGCTATTTGTCCGTATTTTATTTGAAGACTCACTAGATCGTTTAGTATGCATAAGAACTGAACCTGAGAACAAGCCAATCAGGCAGCAATGCAGCAGCAGCAGTCTAGTCTAGGGATGAGAATAGTCATCACAGGCAAGATGCAATGGCCATACCAACGGTAAGTAACTAAACCTGAGTAAGAATTTCACAACGTACGAGAAATGCGTGATACGAGAAGGGCGTGATGTCTACCAATGGTTTCTCAAGTCGACCAAGCCGTGCATATGTACATCTAAAAAATATAATTTTCTTTGGGGAAAAGACCCGGACGAATCGAGTCATGCA